AAGAATATTTACCATCATCATCAATTGCATTATGAAATTATTGGCTACGCTTTTTAAAAGTAACAAAAATAAATAAATTGTGATTTAAATAGTCAAACAATTTAAACGTGTTAGGCTACTATAAACAAAATTAGTTTCCATATCTTACATTTTCCCCCAAAGCAGCATAACTGTATATAGCCTACATCGACTATTCTCTTTGTTTTCCCATAATGTGTCCGAAAGGTGTCAGTAAAGGCTAAATTTGAAATGACCTTCTTTTAATACAGCTCCCCCTCTATAATGAACGAATAGCTGAGTTTAAAGGATTTCAAGAGTTCTATGTGAACTTTATTCAGTTTAGTTTTTTTTTTTTTTTTTCTCAAAACAATGATTATTGATTATTGATAATTGATATTGATATATTAATTGCGTTTTTTCTGGTTTTAAATGATTTATCGCTCTTTCACGTAAAAAAAATAGTTATAGCACAAGATTCGACTTCACAAAGAAAACGTAAGTGTCGTTTGGAAAGAGCAAAACACTGTTTTCTTATAATGATATTTCCCTCATTAATAACATTTCTTTGCTGAATGTAGCCTACATTGTAGAACGTCATCATAAAAATGGCAAAACACAATTTTCGCCCGATTCAAACAGTGGCATTCCCCTAAAATATGATGATTATTATTAATTTCGTCATGTTATCCATGGACAAGTAGCTATCTGTGGCGGCAGAGGTCACATTTTGAGACGCACAAACTTGCACGCACTGTAGGGCAATTAGCGCCTATGTGTGTGATTACATTAGCACATATCTTGAGTTTTATAAGTCGAGTATACATAGCACGATTGAATGTGTTGTCAGCACCTGGGCGCCTCCCAGCTCTTTGTTTTAGCACAAAGAAACTCAAATCGTGAATTATCAGTCGTGGGATTATCACCCATCAGCATCTCATATTAAAAAGAGCCCTCCCCCAAAAAATGTCTTTGGTGCAAAACATCCCATCAAAATGTGTGAAGTGTCGCTTTTAGTCTTGCTAAACCATTTTAATTCTGCTAATTTTAAAATAACTGATTCATGTCATTTATATATATATATATATTTTTTTTTAGTTTATTGAAGTGATTTCTTACATGTGATACTAAAGCAGATGTGCTTGTCCAAAGTGATTTATGAATGAGAAAATCTAGCAGAGCAACACTAAAGCAGATTGAAAGACAGTTCCAGATACGTTTAAAGAGCTTGTTTAAATAGTGGCTGCTTGCTTTGTTTGCTACATGGTCTAGTTTGAGAGATCCCACCTGACAAATGCCTTGTTTGAGTAGTTTGTTCACATGTTTGGGGGATCAGCTTTAATGTTGCCTGTTTTCTGGCTTGTTTAAACTAGGTGAGAGGACACAAGCTCTTAAATTCCCTGGGGCTAATAGGTAGAATGGCCCAAAATGAAAGAATTATCCAAATAACTAGAAAATACATGCATTTGCTATATAATTTAATCACTTTGTTCATTTTAATATTTAAGTACTAAAACCATATTACAAAAAGGTTTATATTATATTATATTAGATACATACATTTTTTAAGGCCTCTAATAAAGGCCTCTAATGATCAAAATGTTGCTGAAAAAACCTGTTGTACAAAATCTACTACATACCTTCTCTCATCTGATTGACATCTGACAGTTTACACTTAGTAATGTATACTTTTTGAAGTTATTATTTATTTATTTATTTTCAATTCCTTTTTGTAATTCTAAAATAAATGTCCCCTTTAGGTTGTGATTCACGTGTTGTTTTGCTGTAAAATCTTTACTGGTTTTTAGAAAGTAAACATAAGAATAACTTTTATATTGCTTGAAGATGAACATTAATTGGACTGATACAACTTAGGCTTACTTGATTATCCATACATCTTTTTAGAGAAATCATGTTAAATTGTAAGTATCAAATATGATACATCAGGCTTTTGGGAAACATGTCTTTGTTACTCTCTCAATACATATGTTTTGTCCCCAGAATAAAACTACAGAGCTTTAATCATAAGCATTTAAATATCATATTACTCTAAGACATATTATTAGGAGATAAAGAGTGACAAACTGATATGCATTTTATGTAAGTAGTCTGCTATTACGGTTACAGGCTACAGAGCTCATTGATTACAATTAGAATTTCATCTTACTTTTTGGCCACGTAAATATCAGACTGCACCAAATTGCTTTTTTTTTTTTTCCCCTTGAGTGTGAGTTCCACATTGTCTTGTACCAGTCATAAAAGACTGATGTATCAAATATCATACTGTTTTAGATTTCTTTAAAAATGTTTTGTCTGTTCAGTAAACTGTTCCATTTTCAAAACGACCTTTTCTGACTATTCTTTCATATGTCAGGCTTTAAAAATAATGTTGATTAAAGTCGATGTCTTGTTATTCTCATGATGAATCCAAATGTAATTATTTCCTGACAGTTTACATTTAAACACACACAGAAGATCTTGCTAATTTAAGTACACATTATGATCTCAAAAAGAGGAGAGGCAGCTTCAAAGGGAGAAAGATATGTCCTTTACAGTGAAATAATCTGGATGTCTACAGCAATTTTTATGGGTGGGTCTGTTCTCCTCTGGGTAGCCTAACCTTAATGGGCCACCCTCATCACAGAGCCCGATGAGTTCCACATTGTCTTGTATCAGTCATAAAAGACTGATGTATCAAATATCATACTGTTTTAGATTTCTTTAAAAATGTTTTGTCTGTTCAGTAAACTGTTCCATTTCAAAACGACCTTTTCTGACTATTATTTCATATGTCAGGCTTTAAAAATAATGTTGATTAAAGTCGATGTCTTGTTATTCTCATGATGAATCCAAATGTAATTATTTCCTGACAGTTTACATTTAAACACACACAGAAGATCTTGCTAATTTAAGTACACATTATGATCTCAAAAAGAGGAGAGGCAGCTTCAAAGGGAGAAAGATATGTCCTTTACAGTGAAATAATCTGGATGTCTACAGCAATTTTTATGGGTGGGTCTGTTCTCCTCTGGGTAGCCTAACCTTAATGGGCCACCCTCATCACAGAGCCCGGGACAGCTTCCCCCCACCCCCACCACCACCACCACCACCACCATAGGACAGAGCAGATTTGCAGAGGAAAGGTTTCTGGGAAAGACTAATCGTAGGACAAAGAGAGCTGCTGGTGAGGTCACTGGTGCCTTTCAGCATGGGCAGTACGTATGAGCTAACCAGGGTGTGGGACTCATTTGACCTTCTGGCTCAGGGTGGCGGGTGCAGGCAGACTGGAAGCACAGCAGGAAGGTGGTGCTAGTTGCCAGACTGGTGTCTCCGGGCTCCAGCATAGGAAAAAGAGGCCCTAGCCACAGCAGGTGGTCAGCAATATGTCAGATCGCCATGCTGGAGCTGTCATTGAATTGTCTTTCAGAGTTCCCGACAGGGTCCTGTCATGACATGCCTGATGTTTGGTCCCTAATCAGACGGAGAGTGCAGCATGTTAACCCGTGGTGGGCTACAGGTCAAGGATGTGCTGGGGTTTTCATTGATCAGGTCAGGTGGTAATTGTGTGCTCAGACGGATAAGGCTACAATTATTAACGTTGAAAAAATAAAGCAGAATTCTGTTATGGAACTGAGCAAGTGATAGTGATGAACTGTCAACAGGAATGTATTACGGTACACTGTAAAAAAAATTCTGTAAAATGTACGGTAAAAAAACGGCAGCTGTGGTTGCCGGATTTTTACCGTAAAAAATACAGTAGCAATATTTGAGGTTTTACGGTTTTAACTTAAATTTACAGTTAAATACCGTAATTTCATTAACTGAAATAATGTTAATATATCAACCTATTGAAGTACTGAAATCTGTTTTGTACCTTTGTAATACACTGATAACCACCAAATGCAGGTGGGGATGAGAAAGTCACATGATGAACCAAAGCCCATCACAAGCAGCTTTTAAATAATAACATATATAGAAGGTGCGCAGTGTCATTCACACAGACACTAAACACCATCACGGTAACACACATGAAACTGAAATAATGCAATAAACATGAATTTAACAACATTAGGTGTAACACACACAACCCTAATATACAAAACTGATAAGAAAAAACTAAGAAGCAACATAGTTATTTCAACAAAAAATTCTGGGAATGTCAATTCACTGTAAATGAATGTCTTTTTCACTTCCAAAAACGGTATACTACCGTAAAATTACATGTAATGTCCAATACAGTTTTTCACCGTATATAGTAGGGGAATTTACCGTTAACCATTTAACAGGTTTTTACTGTAGCATTTTTATAGTCTTTTACTGTTAAAGTCACTGTCATTTTTTACAGTGTAGCGAGAGTTTATGCTAAAATAGCACAGCTATAGTTATTACTGTAAAATAATATTTTAAACAAATTGTAAACTTTTTTTAATTTTTAAAAAAAAATTTAATAACTGTGTTGACTAAAAGATTGTTCAATTTTACTGTAATAATAATAATTGTAATAATAACTTTATGCAAGGTTTACCATATGAACTGAATTCCACCCACTTAATGCCACAACACATTTGTGACCAACATTCAGTTTTAGAAAAAAAAAAGATTTGTTTATTTATTTACTTACTTAAAAAAAAAAACACTGTTGCGCTTTTTACTATAATAAAACCATGGCTAATTTTCAAATGCGTCTGCACTAAATGTGCCTGTACTAATTAGGACATAATTTCTGTTGTTTACTAAAAGACAGCCCATGTACGTGCGCCCCACCCACGAGCTTCAGCGCGCTATTTAAAGCGTTTAGACAGCAGCAGCAGCAGCAAGCGCGAGAACATCAATGCAACCTTACAGATCATGCTGGATTCATCTCGGGATCGGATTATTAAACACATTCAGTGGATTTAAAACCAACTCAACATTAGGATATCATCAAATGAAGTAGCAAGATTTAAAGCTGAAGTCAACTGAGGAGGACACGTTCTTATTATTTTAAGAAGAACTTATTAAATATGATTCCAGTGCGGCTGATCTCAGCTTTGATGGTGGCGTGTGGTTGCAGCGTGCTCGCGGACGCAATGCAAGCAAACTTCACTCTGGATAATGACATTCAGTCCAGCTTCATCCAGCGGCGGCTGAAGAGTCAGGAGCGCAGGGAGATGCAGCGGGAGATCCTCTCCATCCTCGGGCTGCCGCACCGGCCCCGTCCGCTCCTGCACGAGAGACACACCGCAGCTCCCATGTACATGTTTGATCTGTATAACGCCATCCTGGAGGACGGAGATCAGCGCAGAGGGGTCGTGCACTCTTATAAACCGGTGTACACGACCCCGGGACCCCCGATGGTGACCCAACAGGACAGTAGCTTTCTCAGTGATGTCGACATGGTGATGAGCTTTGTCAATCTGGGTGAGCATCTTATGATATACAATCTTTAAAACATATAATAATAATATAAAATGATTGCTAATGGGATTTCATGATTTTGTCCCACACACAGTGTTGGGCAGTAACTAGTTACTAGTAACTTAAAAATTACTTTTTGCAGTAACTAGTAGTGTGACTAATTACTAATAAGATTTCAGTAATAATATAACAGTTACAATGCATAAAACAGCTTAGTTACTTTTGATGCCTTAACCCCGCTGACTTAAAATCCAACAATCAAATAATTCCTAGATTTATTTTCATAATTTTCACGACTGGCACATGCATGTGATGTCCCCAGTGCAGCAGGCAAGCTTGGAATGTGGAAAAGATTACATTCAGCAGATATAAATATTGCATTATATTGATTTTATCAGGAAGAAAGATGACCTGAACACTGTTGAGTAAGTTGTGGCTGTACTTTACTCTGGTATTACATCCCACCCACATCCCTCTGATCAGCATGTGGTACATTATATTACTGTAATTAAAATCTTTTTGGAAAATTAAACAGTTTCTTACAAACTGAAATATAGTAATCGTATATGGGTAATGGAGAAATTACAATTAGCTTCAAGCTACACATGACAATTAATGAGATTAATACAACACTTCTACTTGAATGTCACTATCAATCACTATTGAGTGTTTGTAATCAATTCTGACTGCGATCCAATGTGGATTTTGGTCAAATGATGAGGCAGAAACATGTTGTTAGTAACATTCTAGAAGAATTTCATGTGGAAGATACACAGTTACAACTTCTGTGGGACGTGAAGAAATAGTAATGTAACTAATTACTGTTGCCAGAAAGTAATAAGTAAAGTAGGCACATGCATGTGATGTCCCCAGTGCAGCAGGCAAGCTTGGAATGTGGAAAAGATTACATTCAGCAGATATAAATATTGCATTATATTGATTTTATCAGGAAGAAAGATGACCTGAACACTGTTGAGTAAGTTGTGGCTGTACTTTACTCTGGTATTACATCCCACCCACATCCCTCTGATCAGCATGTGGTACATTATATTACTGTAATTAAAATCTTTTTGGAAAATTAAACAGTTTCTTACAAACTGAAATATAGTAATCGTATATGGGTAATGGAGAAATTACAATTAGCTTCAAGCTACACATGACAATTAATGAGATTAATACAACACTTCTACTTGAATGTCACTATCAATCACTATTCAGTGTTTGTAATCAATTCTGACTGCGATCCAATGTGGATTTTGGTCAAATGATGAGGCAGAAACATGTTGTTAGTAACATTCTAGAAGAATTTCATGTGGAAGATACACAGTTACAACTTCTGTGGGACGTGAAGAAATAGTAATGTAACTAATTACTGTTGCCAGAAAGTAATAAGTAAAGTAACAATATTACTTTTGAAAGGAGTAACTAGTAATGAGTAATATATTACATTCTTTGAGTAACTAGCCCAACACTGCCCACACATGAATCCCGTGAGCATCAAATGTTAGATCAGTTATCAGATTCTACTTTAATCTGTTTATCAAAGAGGATCTTATCTGTTTCTAGGTGGATTCCATCATTCACTCTTAAAAATAAAGGTCTTTTGTTAATTCTTAGGTTCAGCAAAGCATAAAAAGAGGTTCTTATCACAAACCATTTTGGCTGTATTCTTGAGAGCTATGACTCTTTGGCAATTACATAAAAATAAATAAATAAAAAAACCTAAAGAATGACCCCTGGCCTTTTGCAAAGTCATTTGCTTCAACTTGGAACCTTTATTTTAAGATTGTTTAATGATTAACTGGTACTAGCAGTTCTTTGGGATTATTTTGTTTTTAATTAGTTTTACATTTTGATATTCTAAACTATATTTAAGTATAAATTAGAGATTATATATGTTATTAATCATAGCTCATATCTAGTATTTTAGGTCACTGTGGTCAGAACATGTATGGCCAAATTTAGTAACAGCTATATTTATTTATTTTTATGTAAATATATTAAATATTTTTTATATATAACTGTATACATTTTTATTTAGCAGCTGTCATCAGTCATTTTATATACAAATAATTTTTGACTTATTCAACACAGTTAAATGTAACGGCAGCAAGCACATATCCAGTTTCCACAGAATTCCCTCAAAGCTCTACGACATGGGGTTTAATGGGGATTTGTTTTGCATGACTAGGATTTAGGGAGGCCTTTTTGGAGAGTGCTGAGGGCAGTAGACATGGAGGGTCACATACATCATCCAAACACTCTTGCTTTCAAGACCTTTTAGTGCTTGTTAAACGTGTGTATGTGTGTTGTCGAAAGAGATGCTGAATATTTGAAAGATGGGGCATTCATTGTAGGCCGATATGTGGATGTAAATGCAGTTGAGTGAATGTTTTTGCAAGTGTGTGTTTATTAAGTCCAAAAGGGCATGATCTGGTCAGTGATTTCCTTGAACATTTCTTAAACCCAATTCCTGTCTTTTATTATTGTCTTTAGTATTCCAATGTGCTGTAAGTCACCATACAGCTTCAAGTGTGTTTAGAAGTGGAAAATAATGCTTGTCTTGGCTGACCTCTTAGGAATTTCATCAAAAGTTTTACACATTTTAAGAGAGGGCAGGTTTATGATGTGTTTGGAATCTGTGTTGGATGGGGTGATCTATCTATCTATCTATCTATCTAGTCAGAACCTCCTAACTGTCAAGCAACCACTTGTGTGTGAAAAGGTGTAGAGCAGCGGGCTAAGCACACATCCTTGGGGGGCCCCGGTGTTAGTAAGAAGGGTGGAGGATGTGTGCCCGCCAATTCTCACACACTGTGTGTGATTAGTTAAAAAGTCCACAATCCAATTGCATAGCGTGGTGTTTAGTCCCAGGTTGTGTAATTTAGATCGGAGCTTATACGGCCGGATTGTATGAAAAGCCGAACTAAAATCAACAAAGAGCAGCCTCACATAGGTGTTCTTGAGCTCTAGATGTTCCAGTAGTATATGGAGCACAATCGCAATGGAATCCTCAGTCGACCTGTTCTCCCTGCATGCAAATTGGTATGGATCAAGTGTTGGTGGTATTTCTTTTTTAATGTGTTTGATGATCAATCTCTCCAGGCATTTGGCTGGGATGGGGTGAGTGCCACAGGTCTGTAGTTGTTTAGACAAGTGACATTAGACTGTTTGGGGATGGGTACAATTGTGGCTGCCTTGAGGCAGGCAGGGACCCATGACGTGGACTGCGACATGTTATAGATGGAAGTGAAGACATCCGCTAACTCGGCCGCACAGTCTTTCAGCACCCGGCCCAGAACTCCGTCTGGAATGGCTGCTTTCCTGGGGTGCAGAAAACAAGTCTCACATCATGTCAATAGAGGGGAGGGGAGGCAGTTCAGGGTCTGTGTTTTCCCTGTCAAAGTGAGCATAAAAGAGATTTAATTCCTCGGCTAAGGTGGCACTGCTGTTTACTGAGGGAGATGTGTAGATGTTCTCTTATAGTCTGTAATGGCCTTGATGCCCTCCCAAACCTGCCTGAGTTTTGTGAAGTTATTCAAATTGGCTTCAATATGCCTTTTGTGATCAAATTTGGCAGTATTGATGCCTTTCCTTAGAGCAGTCCTGGCTATGTAGGGTCCCCAGATCTATGTGCTATATTCCTAGCTCTAATTAGTTGTTGTACATTGTGTGTCATCCAAGGCTTCCTATTTGATGCCACATGGACTTGTATCCAAGATGTTACACTGTTCACACAGAAATTGATGTAGCATAAAATATTTGTGGTGTATTCATCCAGAGATTCACGTGTGTGCGTGCCCTGTCCCTTAAATACATCCCGTATTGTGCGGTGGAAGCAGCCCTGGAGCACAGAAATAGTGTCCTCTGGCCATATTCTCACACTTTTTAACATAATTCCCAGCCCTTTTGATTCTGGGTGTATACCGTGCGTGCAGCAGAAGAGGGAGATGATCTGACAGTCCCAGGTGGGGATACCAGGTCTGGGCTCTGTATGCGTCTGCTACATTAGTATACACTTGATCCAGAATTGTATCTTCACTGGTAGCACACTTCACGTTGTGGTGGAATTTGTGAAGGGCCGTTTTTAAGTCAGCGTGATTAAAGTCCCCAGATGAGATGAAAACACGGTCCGGCTGTGCGACCAGGCTGTTGTTAACGCTCTCATAGACCTGTGCTAGCGCTATCTTGGCATTAGCATCTGGTGGGATATACACAGCACAGATGTAAACAGCAGTGAACTCCCTCGGGAGATAAAACGGCCTGCACTTGAGCAGCAAGAATTCCGCATCTGGCCTACACAGTTTATCCACTACTGTGACGTCTGTGCACCAGGAGTTGTTAATATAGATACACAATCCCCCGACGGTCTTCTTACCAGAGTTCGCAGTCCTGTTGGCTCGATAGGTGCTGCGTCCCGCTAGCTCAATAGCCGCGTCCGGAGTGGTGCTGTCCAGCCAAGTTTCAGTGAAGATCATGCAGCAACAGTTGTATATAGCCCTCTGCATGGTCATTTGTAGACGTATTTCATCCATCTTGTTGCGGAATCAACCGGGCATTAGAGAGAAAGATGGTAGGAAGCGGCGGTTTGAACGGGTTAGCCTTTAGCCAAGCCCACACACCCGCCCGCTTGTCTCTCTTCTGCCTCCGCTCGCAGCGTTATAACCTTCAACCTTCAAACTGTTCTTGTATCAAACTACACAATGTTTATATAACCTTCCAGGCAACTTCCAGGCGAGGCTTTCTTAGGCCAACAATCTAAATCGGTCTTGACAAACTTTTTCCTTTTCATATTGTGGAGGCATGTATGACCTTCAGATTTTTACTTTCAAGTTTTTCTGTCTTTACTTTTCAACTCTTAAACAATGCTTTGTCATACTGACATCAAAGTTTGCTACTTTTCTAGTTTTAATTTGCAAAGAGGTTGTGGTTTCCAGCAGCCTGGCTGTGACCTCATAGTGCAGCTTGTGGTTAAAAATGACTCCCGTTTTCCAATAATTTCCAGATTATTGACAGACATTTCCACTCATTTGGCCTTGTAAGTTTAGACAGACAATATCTTTAAACTAAAAAAGCTGAATGAAGTGTTTGACATGGAGCATAAGGCATACATTTAATCAACCAAGTCAATTCAAGATATCTTAACAAAAACAAACAGCGATAGCTTTCGTGAATTGTTAATCCAAATTCTAGCGAACTCTAAACTCAGCGTATAGAAGCATGCACAACAAACAGCGTGCAAATCCACCTGTTTATGTTCCTAAGATGATTTTGAAGAAAGTAAGCAGATCTTTCTTCAGATTTCAAGCCTCGGCACCAAAAGCAGATTAGACCTCCAATTAGTTTTTCAGCCCGCTCAGTAAACACACTTTTCATTGTCTGATGTTTAGTATTCAGCCTAGAATTTAGACAATAGAACATCCTGCTGTTGACTTCTACATTTTTTGTAAGCACACATTTTTTGTTTTTCATATTTTCATGATCTTTGAATGGTCATTTATGTGCTTCTCTAAGCAAAATTAAATGCGATTCTTATCTCATGGAATAGAGATTATTTTGTGATATCTGTATCTGAGAAGGACAACAAGTCCTGGCATGACATGGCGTTTTCGCATCTCATTTCCGCAGTTTGTAAAATTGTCTGCAGAGAAACCTCATGAAAAAACAATGATGCTAACTGTAGTTCAAATTCAGTTACATTGTGTGAATGAGGTGACACATTAAAACTGAACTGAAGTGAAAGTCTCATTGAGGGTTATTTACTGCCATGGACATTTAAGGTGTGGTCATTTTTATGCTGTCTGACAATTTATTTCAGTAGGATTTTTGTAGCGGGTTTAAGTTGGTCTTGGGGATTTGGTCTATAAGCATGTACCATTGGGCAGGTACCGTAATCATGAAGTAAACCAGCACTAATCATCCCCTGTTGTTCAAATGTGTTTGTATTATTGAGTGTTAAAAGACAAAAGTGGCTCTCCATCATACCTTTGCCGCATTGAATAACAGTTTCTGTGTGAGCTGTGCTTTATGCAATACTGACAATAGACAATGGGCTTTTTTTTGTCCATTAAATTGTATAAAAATGTACCCCACCTTTACTATCAATATGCAGGAAAATGAAACATAGAGTTAGACTAGTTTATCCCAGAACATTCTAGCAGATGCATAGCAATACTTTAGCATTGCGTTTTTGAGTTTAGCATGGGTAAAGGGCACAATATAGGTGTTTTTAATTGTTTCATTGGTCATATGCATTTTTTAGTGTGTTTGTAGTAAAGAGCTATTGACCCATATATGTCCTCTTCTGACCCTGTGTAGGGAGCTGTACCTGCTAGACTCGCAAGTGGTATGGGCGGCAGAAGAGGGATGGCTGGTATTTGACCTCACGGTCACCAGTAACCACTGGGTTATAAACCCAGGTCAGAACTTGGGACTGCAGCTCTCTCTGGAAACGGCACACGGTGAGTATCGTCAAATATTAAGATATACCTTTATAAAGCAACCTGAAAAACTACCATCCTAAACAGCCAAATGGCAGAGTAGCAATTTGGGATAGGGGGAAGTTCTTGCAAAAATTGCAGTTCTGTCATCATTTACTCACCCTCATGTCGTTCCAAACATTTCTTTCATCTGTGGAACACAAAAGTAGATATTCATATCAGAAACGTAAGGGGGCTCCAGTGTTGTTCTGGACACCAAATCAGTTAAAAGATTATTCAAACTATCTAACTCATGAGTAGAGTATTTGTCTTTCGGTCATCAAGCAACTCACTGTCGCCCTCTGCAGGTGAAAGAATGAACCCAAGGAGAGCAGGTCTGGTGGGCAGCCGTGGACCTCAGAATAAGCAGCCATTTATGGTGGCATTTTTGAAAGCGTCAGGAATCCATCTCCGCAGTGTTCGCTCAGCATCAGGAAACAAACAGAGGGGTCACCACCGCTCTAAAAACCCCAAACCGGGTGTTGCACCCAGCCAGGTGGCTTTGAAGACAGCTGAGTCTGCAGGTGACACTTTTTACTAACTTTTTGTTTTAGTTCATTGTTGTAATTTCATTTTCAGGCTTATGCATTTTTTTATTTCTACAAGAAATATTTACCTTCATACTATCTAACCCTAATATCCACACAGTTTATTAACATGTTATTAACAAATGTGCTACATATTTATTTTTCCTTCTGTTCTATGCAGAGGGTGCCAGCGTAGACCCCAAACAGGGCTGCAAGAAGCATGAACTGTATGTCAGCTTCAGAGATCTGGGATGGCAGGTACCGTAATCAGCTTCCTGTTTCAGACTCCTCTTAATGCCTTTATCTCCTCTAAACCTTCTCATCTTTTTTGTGTTTCCAGGACTGGATCATTGCTCCAGAGGGTTACGCTGCATACTACTGTGAGGGAGAATGTGTGTTCCCCTTGAACTCTTTTATGAATGCCACAAACCATGCTATTGTACAGACACTGGTGAGTTCCACATTCATTTCCTCTGTTAAAAGAATAGTTAACCCAAAAATGAAAATTTAGTCAGGTTTAACTGACCCCTTTGTAATATCAAACTCGTATGACTGTCTTTCTTATATGATGATATTTGAATGTTTCAACTGTTTGTCTATAAAAGGAAAGTCAATAAGGTCCAACATAAAAATTAATTGGTTATTCACTCTCAAATCTAATCTACTTATTGATCAACTCATCAACTGTACATAGAGCCCAAATGTCAATAACAGCAAACCTCACTGGTGAAAAATTTGTGATGGCATTCTAACTGTGTAGAAATTTGAGCTCTCAGTTCAGAGTTCAGAGTTTATATACACATGTTCTGCAGTTGTTATAATTATAATGTTATAATGATATTATGTCAAATCATGTATTTCTGTGCTCTTTCTAGGTCCATTTCATAAACCCAGAAACAGTCCCGAAGCCCTGCTGTGCTCCAACGCAGTTACACGGAATCTCCGTTTTGTACTTCGATGACAGTTCCAACGTAATATTGAAAAAGTACCGCAACATGGTCGTCAGAGCCTGCGGATGCCACTAATCTGCCCTGGACAAAATAAGGGATGCAAATACTTCTAATTATCAAGAGCCCAGAGAGGAAAGAGACTCATTACTGGAGCAAAATTGGATTTCTGTCGGAGGAGTGTACATCCAAAGCATACATTTTTATTTAAAACTCAAAACTGCTGGAACTCTATGAGGTTGACCACAGCTGAGTCAAGTGTGTGGTGTTCTGGCTTTCATTTCTGCACAGAGAGCCAAGTTTGAAATATCAAAGAGGACATGAGCAGATAAAAAGAGAAAGAGCCGGCCTTAGAGGTTTAACCAGACTGATCTTAACATTTAAGCACATTGCTTTATGGAGATTTCATTACAAAAACCACTTGTATGATGGCATGATTTCTGTATGAAGTAATTCCTGGAAAATTCCTGCCATGACTGAATTTATCAGAAAGTCTGAGACCACTAGTAAAAATGCTTCTATTGTGGATTTTTTTATTTAATTTTTTTCTATTAACAACTAAGCATAACAATGGGAGTTGAAAGTTGAGTAAGAATAAAGGCATGCATATGAGCTTGTTGATCTTATGTGCTTCAGTGGATACATTCAGAATCTTAAAGGGGCCATATGATGCGATTTAAAGTTTTCCTCTCTCTTTGGAGTGTTACAAGCTGATTGTGCATAGATAAGATCCCTGAAGTTGCAAAGACTAAAGTCTCAAAACCAAAGAGATATTCTTTATCAAAGTTAAGACTCTGCCACGCCCCCTAGAACGGCTCATGCTAACATATCTACCTCACTGTGTGGAAATATTTGCATAATGCGCCCAAATGTGCACGCAAAGAAAGAAGGTGTGGTTTCAGTAACCGCAGTTAGTGTTGAAGCAGCATGTCAGGGAGACGCTGTGTGTTTCTAGGCGAAAGCAAAAGCACTTTATTTGGCCTTCCGAAAGTAGATGCATTTAGGAATCTTTAAGATTTTCATTTTACCTCATAATGTGCCTTTGTTTAAAATTCTGGTTATTTCCAGGTTTAAATTAGATGATGAATCACAGAATTTCCATGTGGTTGCGGATTTTTAGACCCCACTGTATTTTGCACAAGATGTGAAATAGACATGCAAATGATGGGTGTCTGTTACAGTGAGTCACAGCAATGGTTTTTAATTTCACTCTTTCAGGACACTCAACAAACCCTTACACAGATTTTCAGCACTCGATTAAACAGGACTGCAGAAAATATGCAACTCAATTTTGCCTTCACTTTGGTTTTGTCACATACAGGAAAGAACACTTGTTTCCTCTCAGCAGTTATCAATCATTATTACAGTAAAGCGCATTCATTTGTTTCCATCCTTATTCTGCCGTAGATGGATCCAGTTTTATGCAAGATTATATCCTCCTCCCTTAATGCTAAACCAAAAACATTAGCAAATTATCATGGAATATCTTGTTTTAGCTAATCAAAAGAGCTATTAGCACTATGCTAAGCTAGTATGCTAGGCTGTTAGCTTGCTAACTGAAAGCTAACTGAAAACAAAGAAAAGGAAATCCTTAATTTTTCCATGTTTATAGCTACTGTACTATAATGTCATATGTAATTTAAAACACAGTAACATTTATTTTCATAATTAAGACTAAATAAAGCAAATCATTTCTAATCAGACAACATAGTGTACACATAAAAAGTGGGATGGAATCATTCTTGGGTCCATTGAGGATCTTTCAGACCTTCTAAAAGAGGTTGAAACACAAAAACACACCTTGTGACAACTTATTGATGAATTATGTGTGCTCACACAGGATTTACACACACACATATGTGTATACACACCATTAGTGAATTAACTTTGTTGTGAAGAGTGTGTGTGTGTGTGTGTGTGTGTGTGTGTGTGTGTGTGT